AAATTTGGGGCGCCTGGGTGGCTCGGTCGGTTGAGCATCCGACTTCGGCTCGGGTCATGATCTCACGGTCCGTGAGTTCGAGCCCCACGTTGGGCTCTGTGCTGACGGCTCAGAGCCTGGAGCCTGCTTCCGATTCTGTGTCTCCCTCTCTCTCTGCCCCTCCCCCATTCATGCTCTGACTCTCTCTGTCTCAAAAATAAACAAACATTTAAAAAAAAATTTTTTTTAAATAAAAAATAAAAAGAGAAAACTTACCTTCTAAAATCTGCAATAAGAAAATTACATCAATGGAAGACATCACCGATGAAACAATGTTTCTTGACAAAATAAACCACTTTATGTATATAACAGAGGAAAAACCGCTTACCTGCAGGAAGCAAGCGGTTTCATAAAGCTGTTCGACAGTGCTGTCATTTATTGCCAAGTTACCCGTGTATGCGTATGCTATTATTATCTGTAAGGTGGCTGCATCCACATTCCTCAGGTGCACGTGTGTCTGTTTGCTTTCACTGAGTCCACTCATGAACATGGCCCTACATCAGAATGAGAAACAAAGCTGATGGGTTTAGTGTAAAACCAGCGTAGACCTAAGAAGGACAACTAGATAACATGGGATGTTTATTTAGGGTATTTGCCTATGGACACATTATAAGGAAAGCTTTTGAGGGACACAAGAGAAAAGCATAATAATTCAGTGCCAAAGATATAACTATTCCACCATCTGAGTGGAAACATCAAACTCATTCTTTATATTCATACAATGGAATACTACTCAGCAATAAAAAGGGAGTATTGATATGTATTATAACACAGATGAACCTCAAATATGTGCTCAATGAAAGAAGCCAGATACAAAAGACCATATATTGTATGATTCCATTTATATGAAATATCCCTCCCCCAAATAAATGCAGAGACAAAAGGGAATTAGTAGTTACCTAGGGCTATGGTAAGAATGGTGAGTCACTGTAAATGGGCACAAGGTGAATGCAATGTTTCAAGTTAGATTATAGAAATGGTTGTGCATCTCTATAAATACACTAAAATGCATTTAATTATACCCTTAAAATAGGTGGATTTGATGGTATGTAAATTATATCTCAATAAAGCTGTTAAAAATGTGATTTACTCAAATTGATTTCCTAAAACTATATGGGACAATTTCCTAAAAACCTATTATATACAATATATACAATGAAGTATAACTCGGCAATCAAAAAGAATGAAATCTTGCCATTTGCAACTACATGGATAGAACTAGAGAGTATTATGCTAAGTGAAATCAGGGAAAGACAAGTATCATATGACTTCACTCATATGAGGACTTTAAGATACAAAACAGATGAAGATAAGGGAAAGAAAGCAAAAATAATATAAAAACAGGGAGGGAGACAAAACATAAGAGACCCTTTATATTTAAGAGAGCAAACAGAGGGTTGCTAGAGGGGTTGTGGGAGGGGGGATGGGCTAAATGGGTAAGGGGCTTAAGGAATCTACTCCTGAAATAATTGTTGCACCATGTGCTAACTAACTTGGATGTAAATTATAAACAATAAATAAATTATAGAAAAAAAAGAAAAAAATCTATTATATACAGGAAACAATGCCAAAAGGCAATTAGTGTTATAGAGAATACAAAACATAACACCCAAACGTAGGTGAGAGATGAAAAAACAATGCAAAGAGTATTACCGTATGCATAAAAGAGAAAAGTCTGTGGTGATCAAAAGTGGGTATGACAACAGCACTAGCTTGGGCCCCTGAAGGACAAGATGAGGAAGGCCTTCACCAATGGATAAAACAGTGAGGGCAGAACATAACTTTTTTTCCAGGGGCATGGCTGAACATAAGGGTTCATGCAGGAGACTGGAAAGCAAACTGGAAAAATGAGTGGCAGTCAGATCACAGAGAGCTTTCAGAGGCTTAGGAGGGGCGTGCCTGGGTGGCTCAGTAGGTTGAGATTCCTGACTCTTGATTTCAGCTCAGACATGATCCTAGGGTCGTGGGATCTAGGACTGCATCAGGCTCTGTGCTGAGCGTGAAACCTGCTTAAGATTCTCTCTCTCCTACCCCTCTCCCTGGCTCACACTCTTTCTCCAAAATAAAAAATGGAGACATAGGAGTCTGAGATTTTTCTTATAGTGAGAACACTGAAGGGTTTTGTGCATGAATTTATCAGCATAATAAAATGTATTGTAGAATGAATACTCTAGTGACAGACCTCAAGTGGCCAAAGGGTAGAGACCGGCAAATGGGCTATGAGTCTACTGCAATAATCTAGATGAGGAGTTAAGAAGAACCTGACCCAGGGTGGCAGAAAAGGATACAAAAGCTATCACAATGAATCAAGATCTGGTGATTTTCTGAACACAGGGAAAGGAATAGAGTAGGAAGTAGATAGGGAAATAAAGCTACTTATTTTTAAATCATTGCCTAAAAAAATAACTGCCAGCCACTGAGAGAAAAATTTTAAGATCACAGAACTGTTAAGTCAAGTTAATCCTGGGAAAAGGGGGAGTTAAATTTTGGATTTAAGGTAAGGGCAACTGAGTCAAATGGAAATAATACAATAATCGGTTAAGTATTTAATATTAATGAAACTCTGGGGAAGATTAGGAATTAATACAGTAGGCAGTGGGGGTGCATGGTGGTTCAGTCGGTTAAGCGTCCAACTCTTGATTTCAGCTCAGGTCATGATCTCAAAGTCGTGAGACTGAGCCCCACGTTGGGCTCTACACGGAGCATGGAGCCTGCTTAAGACTCTCTCTCTCTCTCTGCCCCTCTCCCCTGCTTGTGCAAGCTCTCTCTCTAAAAATGCACACAAAAAAATTGGTGGGCTGTGAATTCTCTACAAAGTGACATGTGTTAAAGATGAATAAGGTATCTGAGGGTGACTAAAAAACTCAAAAGAAAAATGCATCCAGAATCCCAATGACCAACCTGAGGTAAAGTTCAATTAGGATAAAAAAAAGAAAAAAGAATGACAGAAGGTCAAGAAAAGATTCATCAGAGAAATAAGCAGTCCGGTACCATGCTACTTAGGACAAGAGAGGTGGGGTGTCAAAAACTAGAATCAAGGACCACAAAGTCACTGGTGACCACCTAATTGCTTTCATGGTATAGCTCAGAATGAGGAGGAAGGACAGCAGCTAAACTTCAGGCAGTGAAGGAGAGGAAGAGTGGCACAAACAAAATCAATCATGGTAGCTAATGACATCCTCCTCAAAAATACAGGATGACCATAAATAAGCCTGAGTACTGGAGAAGAGGAAGTGTTCTTAGAAAATATCCAAGACATGACAACAAACTCTTTAAACACACACACACACACACACACACACACACACACACACACACATATTTAATGTTTACTTATTTTGAGAGAGAGAGAGAGAAAGGCAGAGAGAGGGAGAGAATTACAAGCAGGCTCTACACTGCTGGTGCAGAGCCCAACATGTGGCTCAATCCCATGATCCATGAGATCACAGCCTGAGCCACAGTCAAGAGTGGGATGTTCAATTGACTCAGCCACCCAGGCGCCCCTAAAAACACCTATGACTAACTGGCTTCACCTGTTTGACATGAGAATGGGAGATAACCAAAAGAAACCTGAAAAAGAACTGTAAGAGCTCTGAGTAAAAATGGAAGACTAGGGATCAGGTGGTTTATATGTCTATTCCAGCAGAAGGCAGTAATTTTGGAAAAGAGAAAGGGCAAGAGAACAGCTGACTACACAGACAACATTGAGACTGGCTATTTCTACATCATGGTTTTATAACACCAGAAATATGGACATCTGTGAAGGAGCTGAGCTTGCTGAAGACCAAAGATAGAAGCCTAGCCAACTGATTATAAAAATTTTCTTTTTTAAAGTTTGTTTATTGATTGATTGATTGATTGAGAGACAGCACTCAAGCAGGGGTGAAGCAGGGAGAGAGAATCTCAAGCAGTCTCAGGCTATCACTGCAGAGCCGGACATGGGGCTCAATCTCACAAACAGTGAGATCATGACCAGAACTGAAACCAAGAGTAAGCTTAACCGACTGAGTTACCCAGGCGCCACATGAAAATTTTAAACGTTTTTAAGAAAGAGTAAATACTGAATTACATATTATATATGAAATATGGAAAAGTACCACAGTGGAAGAGGTGCTGAGTAATTCTCAAGTTAATCTCTCATTTGGGGTCTAAAATGAACTGTAAATGTTACTAAGACGTACTGTTTCAGAGGTTCTACTGATTCTCGGTGGGATGTAACTGGTAACTTGAACTACAAGGAAAGATGTATGTAACCCAAAAGGAAGAATTTCCAATAGTAAATTTCTACGGACTAGTATTATACATAAAGACATACTAAAATCAACGAACCTGAAAGAATCCAACTGAAGAACACTTGGGAAAAGATCAAGTTATTATTGTGGAAATACAGGATAATCTACCCACTCCAGAGGAAAGGTATATATGGGAGGAAGAAATATAAAGGACTGTTTTCATCTTGGGGATTATAAAAGCAGCCCAGACACAGATTTTAAAGATGTGTGGCTTTAATCACAAATATGTATCAGACTATTCCTCCTACTTATAATTACTTCTACTTAATTCTACTTCTTATTATCTGATTTGCTTTAGAGAGAATATATTTTCTCACAAAACCAAGGATGCTAAAAAAGGGAACTAGCCATTGAAAAGGAAATAACAGTAGCCTTAAGAAGACTGTGTTGTCTTTAAGACTGTAACGTTATTGAGGGGCACCTGGGTGGCTCAGTCGGTTGAGTGTCTGACCTCAGCTCAGGTCATTATCTCATGGTCTGTGAATTCGAGCCCCTCGTTGGGCTATGTGCTGACAGCTCAGAACCTGGAGCCTGCTTCGGATTCTGGGTCTCCCTCTCTCTCTGCCCCTCCCCCCCTCTGTCTCAAAAATAAATAAAAACATATAAAAAAAATTAAAGACTAACATTATTGGAAGATTTAAGTCTCCTGGTCTTCGGGAAAATCAATTCTAACCCACTTAGTTAAAGATAAACAGCCTCATGACTAGAGAATTTAAAGAACAGTGTGTTACCTATACAATCACAAATAAACTTAATGAGAAAGGGAAAAAAAAAAAGGGAAGACATCTACAAAAACGCCAAGTTTACTTCCTGATCAAGATGATGACCATACAGAGAATATTATAGATGGAATTTCTGCACAGATTTAAAAATCAGACTAGATGACTGCTAAGGTCATTACCTTTACAAAAGATTCTGTTCTATGATTAAAAATATCAATCTGAAAATCCACAACTAAGGCATAAAACTTTCTAATAATGGGTAATCAATTTATAATTAATGGCCATTAAAAAGGGACAGCTAATAACTCTCGGTATTGACTGAACCTGTAACTTCAAATTTCTAACACCATCTACTAAGCCAACAGATCTGAAAAAAAAACATTGACCATCACAATCATTTGGTAAGTTTTTAAATATATAAAAATTCCTGAACTCTAACCCTGACTCACTGAATCAGAATTTCTAGGTTTGAAATCCAAGAACCTCTATTTGTAAAAGCACTTGAGGATTCTGATGATCAACCAAGTTTTAGAATCACTGTTTGCAAATATGCTAAGCTTTCTAAGAAAATCAATGTCTGAAATTGCATGAAAAATCCACAGCTTAACCTGAAACAATCGCAGGCACAGGAAAGATAAATAGCATTGGGCCTTAACTTCGGGAATCATCAGGAGATGTGCCACATTAAGAAATGTAAAGTTCTGAGGTGCCTGGGTGGCTATCGGTGAAGTCCAACTCTTGATTTCAGCTCAGGTCATGATCTCACAATTCGCGAGATCAAACCTTGCATTGGGCTTTGCACTGGCAGTGTGGAGCCTGCTTGGTATTTTCCCTCTCTCTCAAAATAAATAAACATTAAAAAAATGTGAAGTTTCTACACCTTCAAGTATGTTAACCTTATAAAGTCAACATTAAACCTGCCCTGTCTATAGCTAACACTAAAGAACAGCAGAAATTAACTTTCACAGCTGATCCCCACTATGACTACTAATATTTGTGGTAGTATTATACTGGTCCACATTTAACTCATTTTTATTGACCCTGTCCCTTTCAAATATTAAGTAAAAATTCAACCTAAGGGCAAAACACAAATAAAAGAATTTCTATGACTTTGCTTCCATTCTTCTCACAAAACACACAATAAAGAGAAACCTACTAAAAAGGTTAAAAGTTGCAGAAGATCATAAAAATGAAAAGTTAAGCTTTATTTACTTGCTATTACAAATAAATCAGCTTCTAAATTTTGATGCATAGAGAACAATAGTATTAATTACTAAATATTTAAATCTGGCAAGGAGTCTGGTAAGGCTAAAAGGATATCATAAATGATAATAGTAAACTAAGAGTGAGAAAAAGAAACACATTTTTGCAAAGGAAATAAAGTCCTTAACATGCCTAAACAGCAACAATTATCCTCGAAAAGTTATCGTTCAGCCTACTACAACTCTTACATCAATGACTATTCTTTTTTTTTTAATTTTTTTTTTTAACATTTATTCATTTTTGAGAGAGAGAGAGACAGAGCATGAGCAGAGGGCATAGAGAGAGGGAGACACAGAATCCGAAGCAGTCTCCAGGCTCTGAGCCGTAGCACAGAGCCCGACGTGGGGCTTGAACTCAAGAGTGTGAGATCGTGACCTGAGCTGACGTCAGACCCTTAACTGACTGAGCCACCCAGGTGCCCCTGACTACTCTTTTCTGAATGTAATATTTTAAAATCTCAACAGCAAATAAAAATTATTCATTTCTTTAAAAAAAATTTTCTTAACGTTTATTCATTTTTTCATAGAGACAGAGCGTGAGTGGGGGAGGGCCAGAGAGAGACACAGAATCTGAAGCAAGCTCCAGGCCCCGAACTGACAGCACAGAGCCCGATACGGGGCTCGAACTTACGGACTGTTGAGATCATGACCTGAGCTAAAGTAGGACGCTTAACTGACTGAGCCACCCAGGCGCCCCTCATTTTTCTTTATCTTTTAATGGCAAAACAGCATTCTGAATCTTTTTGCCTCCCCACAATGAAAACTTTACCGGAGTTAATTTCAACAAATTTCTTGTATTTAAACCTTTGCAAAAACTTCTTTTTCCTGTCCTTTACTTAAACATGCAAGGAAGTGATTTGGCAAGCACCATGCCATTGGAATAGAAAGTTTAAGCAAAACATTAAGATGTCGTTTTTTTTTTAACTGAAACGTTTAAAAGAATTCCCATTAAAACATTAAAATAAGCTAACATTCTACATTTGAAATTACAAGCCAAGCAAGATTTAAGCACTTACCTAAAATAAGAGCTACATGTTGCAAGAACCATCTTATGACAAGGGAATTCAGTGCCTTCAACAATTAACACTATGTCAGTAAACAACTGCTGTTCATAAAACAGTTTTAACTGTTCCAACAAGGACACAGCATATTCAGTATTGATCTGCCTCTCGTCTTGAGTGGACATGACTGTATTCCATTAATATCTCCCGGAACAGATTGGAAAAGTCAGTCTTACTGATGGAAGGTCAAGTGAATGCTTCAGAAATAAAGAAAGGAGAAACTCTGCTTGCTGTTATCTGTAGCATTCAGAATCAAGACTGACACATTCACTAATGAATAGTTTCTTGTTATAGGCTTAGAATCACTCCTAGGTCATCCTGTGTTAATTAGGTTCTTCAGTTTTCCAACAGTCTGCAGACGTCTTGCTCAAATTTACAATTGTTGTGCAGCTCATGAGTTAAAGAGAGTAACACACGAGGTAGATTTTGTGGTGACATCCTATGTTTTGTGGATCCTCTGGAGAAACTAAAAAAAAAAAAAAAAAGTTCAGTTAGAGTATGTAGGCCAGTACATTTTTAGAATACAATGCTTAAAATAGCAGATTTAAATATAAATCATATTTATTCAAAGTTCAACTTCAAACATTACCATAAAAACGAAACATGACAAAAGGTACATTTCTTGTTGATTTTTTTTTTTTTTCGAGAGAGAGACTGCACACAGGAGCACAAGCAGGGAGGGGGCAGAGAGAAAGCAAAAAAAGAGAAAGAGGGAGAGCGAAAGAGAGAGAAAGAGAAAGAGGGAAGGGGAGGGAGAGAGGAAGAGAATGAATTTCAAGCAGGTTCCATCCTCAGTGCGACACCCAACACACGGCTTGATCCCATGACCCTGGGATTATGACCTGAGCTAAAATCAAGAGTTGGATGCTCAACCAACTGAGCCACCCAGGGCCCCCTTGAGAAAAGGGATATTTAAAGTCTATTACATTTAAAATTAAAAAGACTGGGAAAAAATAATATTTATAGTCTTAAATTAACTTTTTGTCTTCTCTACAAAATACAAACATCCTCGAAAGTAAGCATATCAATAAGCATATATTTTAAAGTTACTTAAAAGTAAAGAATTACCAACAAAGCCAAATACACTAGTTATTTGTTTAGTGGCAATACATGACCATAATTTAAGAGAAAAAGAAAAGAAAACAAAACAAAACCCTTTCTCTTGCGTGGAGAATCTCATTTTGGGAAATATATTCTAAATATACTTACAAATGCTTTATATTTAATATAAATTAACTATATGGTAAACATTCCATTTGTTAATTTCCAAACTATGTATATATACATATATATACGTGTGTGTGTGTATTTTAAGTTTATTTATTTTGAGAGAGACAGCATGAGCAGGGGAGAGGCAGAGAGAGAGAGAGAGAGAGAGAGAGAGAGAGAGAATCCCAAGCAGGCTCCAAGCTGCCCGTTATGGGACTCAACCTTACAAAAGTGTGAGATCATAATCTGAGCCAAAACCAAGAGTCTGACACTTGACTGAGCCACCCAGGCACCCCAAAACTATATACTTTTTAAATCTGTAGTTCAGTTCAGTAAGGGTAGCATAGGGAGTATATCTCTTTGTCCAGTGGTGGTTCCTTCCTAGCCTAGAAATCTTTTTAAGAGTATAGAATTTTCCGGGGGGGGGGGGGGGTACAAAAAACCCTTTTTGAAACCAAACATGATAAAGAGACATGTGTTCCTACATGGAAGACTCTATATTATACGAATATGAATGTTCTCCAAAATGTATAAATTTAATACAAATCCAACCTAAATCCTATTTGCAGAAAATTCATCTGGAAGAATGCACAGCAGTTGCCAAGATATTTGAGGGGAACGGAAGGCAAGTTTTTCTTTGTGACTCTTGTCAATAGTAAAATGTATTAAAAATCTACAATAAACCCAAGTAAATATAAGAAATTAGATATGCTAAACACTGGCATTTTAAAATAGGAAAACTGGCTTATTTCAACAAATAATGTTGGAACAACTGGCTAACCATTTGAAAGAGGGGGGAAAAAAACCTCTACATTTTAGTCCTATTGCATACCATTCATCAAAAGAAATTCCAACTGAATTAAAATTTAACTTTGGCAAAGGAATTACAAATCAGGAAAAGAAGAGATAAAACCCACACAGAATTACTAAATAGCTAAAACTATCACTTCTTTTCTAATTAGATGACTTAGTTCCCATAATGAGAAAAATCAAGTACTATTGACATGAAACCTATAAATAATACCATGATTGGAACCACTAACACTTTTTCTCACAAAGTATCTCCCATATGTCAAAGAGAAGATCACATTGTACTTCCTGCCAAACTATACTATTACACGAACTGCTAACTTGATATACACTGTCAAATTTCCAGCCAACTTAACTCTGAACGTAACTAAAACAGGTGCAAAGGCAGAGAGAGACTTTGGGTCATTTAAGGTAACGACTTTGCTCTTCCAGATTTGAAAGTTACACTATAAATCTAAGTTCTACTACTATAACCTCTAAAGCTAGTAATACCTAAAATCACTGGCTATTTTCACATATCAATAATGCAAGGCCCAGTGAGGGTATGGAGAAAATGAGCATTCTTACACAGAAGTGTAGGTCAAGTCATACCTACAAGCTCTTATTCAAAACTCTTAGGGCTAGAGAGGCACCTCTAGGCTCAGTCGGTTAAGCATCTGTCTTCAGCTCAGGTCATGATCTCGCAGTTCTTGGGTTCAAGCCCTGCACTGGGCTCTACGCTGACAGCTCAGAGCCTGGAGCCTGCTGTGGATTCTGTGTCTCCCTCTTTGCCCCTCTCCTGCACGCATTCTCTTGCTCTCAAAAATAAATAAACATTAAAAAAAAATTAAAAAAAAAAACTCTTAGGGCTAGATATGTTCTGGAATTTAGAATTTTTCAGGTTTTATAGAGATAACGTGGTACATGTATCATGTATTACAAGACTCTCTCAAGGAGTCTGGCACAACACTCCATAATTGAACATACTACTATCTTTACTGTGGGAAATATGAACAGTGTGAAAATAATACTATAAATAGCCTCGTGTTACTTCAGGTTGAGTTCTGCTAGTTTTTCTTAAAACTTGATTTTAAGAGCTTTCTGAATTTCAGAACTGCAAGTGAACTATTACAGAAAGCATAGTATTTGGCATTGTAAATGCTGACTATCCCAATCTATTAATTCTACCTCTAGAAATTTATCTTACAGAAATGCATGCATTGATAAACTGAAAGTCCTAACCCTAGCTGCAAGATCCAAAATCATCCTCATCCATATTTAAATCAGGTGACAAGAACTGGCAGTCTGGGCCAGGATGAATTTGGATCCCACTGCTAGACCCCAGAATTCCTTGCAGGCTAGCTGTACAGACTAGACTCACTCTGGTCATTTCTTTAACTTCATATTATGACTTGATTTTTTTGTAGTGACTTGATTTTTTGAAAGGACTTTTTTAGGCCTGATTTGTTAAGTCTCTTACTAGATTTAATTATTTTTTAATCATACACATGATGCCACAGTAAAACAACTGAAGATGCTTTTAGAAAATTACACCATGAGCCAGCTTTATGTAATCCTCAGTATGGCTGCATTATACACCCCTAGTCCCCACACCTTACTTTGTAATCTGGAGTACATTTTCTTCCTGATAGGGCATTTTTTATTTAGGATATCTTAATATTAAAATAGGCAGAAAAAAGAGGTACCTAGGTGACTCAATCAGTTAAGTACTCAACTCTTGATGTAGCGCAGATCATGATCTCACGGTTTTGTGAGTTTGGGTCCTAAGCTGGGCTCTGCACTGGCAGCACGGAGCCTGCTTGGGATTTTCTCCCTCCCACTCTCTGCCCCTCACCTGCTTGCTTGTGCTCTCTCTAAATAAATAAATAAATAAATAAATAAATGTTTTAAAAAATAAAGTAAGCAGAAAAAGTTATTCAGATATCATAGTAAATAAGTGTAATAATTTGAACACCTGTATCTAGTACAATTCAAAATAAAACTTCTCTGAAACCAGAGACTTTAAATATGTGAAAATATGTAAAAACGTGAAAAGTTGCAAAGTTTAAGATGACCAACCAACAACCTTCAAACGCCCGTAACATGAATATTTACAGAATCCTTTTCTCCTAGAAACAATACTTGAAATCAATATCCTAAAAATATTTCACAAAGCCTGTATTGTATTACTTAACTTCACCAGTGATTTAACATATTTTATGAATTTTCTTTTTAATAAATATATTGTGTCATGTATCATTCTATGTCATACATAAAATTAGCTTCAAAGTCACACATCTTGTTATCTGCAGAAGTTAGCAGTTAGTTACCCATAGACTAATTCCCAGGTATCAGGGAATTATTTTTCTATCACAAATCAATGGCTACTTAAATTTAACTCAACAAATGTTTACTGAGTATTTATTAAGTGCTGGTCATTGTACTAGAAGTACTCAGACTGAGGGTTGCCAACCACTAGAGCTCCAAAATACCATATGTGTTTATTCTTACTATAGATTACAGCCAAAACCATGATTATCATTTAAAAAAATGGTGTTTTAAAGACCAGTTATTGTAGACAAAAGCTAAAAAGGTGCAAATGGGTAAAGTGAGCCGCGTATAAGAAACGCTTTTCTTAAAATCCACCTGTCTTGATCTTTCATTTCAAAACTTCTGATAATACAAGAAATTTTATTCTTCACCATAAGAAAAACTGTAATACAAGTAAAATGAGCAAAGGAGGTAGTTGGCATTTGATTCCACTACTAACAGTGGTTCATGTTGCAGAAAGAGGAAAAAACTTAGTGAAGACTTTTTTCAATCCTTCTGTTTATTAACATATGCAATGATTATCTAATTTGAAAAAAATAAACTTTTAAAGGGTATACTACTTTCTCTTATCACGAAGACAAAATATTTCAGAGGCTTTGTAAGTTATAAAGCCTCTGTCCCAAATGCTTAACTCTGTTTTTGTAGTGTCAAAGTGGCAAAAGGCAGCATGTAAACAAATGGGCATACTTTATTCCAATAAAACTCATTTCCAAAAACAGGCTGCAGACCACATGTACCAATCTCTGCTTCAGACTGCTTCTTGATCAAATATTAAGAATCAGTGATTAAAATACAT